CCCACACACTACAACTAAAAACGTCACACCTAAATCACACATCACAACTAAAAATAAAATATTTCACTTCACACTAATCCACAATGACAATACACATTTCCTGCACATTTCCTGTACACACAATACAATGACGTAAGAACCAGACAACAAATACGGCTAACCTGACGTTTACTCCTCATTTGACTCTGAAGATGACTACCGCTAAGGTTGTCGAAACGTCAGTCAACAACATCAAAAACAGTCCTTCTCAGGACTTTATTAATCTGGACGATCATCATTTACAAACATATAACGATACTCCCGGGTTCAAACCATTTACTTTAATATGGCGTATGGTAAGCAGATTGATGCTTCTAAAATTGTTGTTGCCGAAGACTTTTATCCATGATTTCTTTAGTGCTTGGGGAATCGTGACCGTTATATGGCAGCGAAATCCTACATTCCTGCAAATATATTTCCATGGACAAAAAAATTTGTATCCATAAGGCGCCATATTATTATTTACTTTATCATAAACAAAGGTTTGGGGCTTTTCAGTTTATGATCATTGATCATTCAATCATTAGACAGTTATACTACATATTGTTTAAGATTTGAGAGAAAACTAACATTGATTACATGAGAAGCTGTTTACTATAACCTGTGATTTTGAGTCTTCTGATACATGAAGCTTTTTATTTTGACAATTTGACTGGAATGGCATTATACCTTAGTATTTCACATACATGAAATGTTGTCCCATGTCACATATTGTCCCCTTTTCTAACTGAACACCACATGTAGAGATGTAGAGGTGTGTTAATCTACGGCTCATACCAGATTGTTTGCCATAAATTCCAAAGGGCTATTGATGTATGAAAAGCATTTTCTATAAAGTAAAAATGTCTTCCTATGTATGCAGATAAACCTTGAAATTTGGCAAAACAGCAAACTATTTTTCATGATCACTAGGTAATTTTTCTGATGATCAGTATAATTTCTAAACTAAATTATTTCAGATTTACATTTAAACGAGCTTTGATCATATGAAAAGATATTTCTCATAACCAGTAAGCATGACACATGAACCAATTTTAACATTCATGTAATTATATAATTAAAGACATGTTGGTTACATTCTGTTTGTATTTGATAATACAATGCTACTAGTAATTGCTATATAGCACACCTTGCAGAAGATAATAGTCAAGTGAAATGCCTAATAAACATTTATGGCATTAAGCTGCCCTTAACTGCAAATTTTCACTCTTATAGTTTTTTGCTTAATCTTTGGCAGAAAAAAATTTCGAGTTTTTTTTTAAAAGGTGAATTAGATGGCACTGATGTGGAGATGGGTAAAGGGTTACAATAAAATTGCATGGTTTGAAGTCTGAGCTTTTCTATATCTATGAACTGTCACTTGTAGTACCAAATTTCTAACTTAACTCATTACATAGAGGTTTGAATGGGGTCTCTAGAGGGGTCTATGCCTGACAACTTGGTAGAAATTTTTATAGACTATATCTGTTTTTGAATAGCATTACTGTAAAATAAATTTTACCTTCCTAGACTTGCTAATGAGCCATATATTTGGCATGATAATGAGACTAAATATTTAGCAAAACATTCAAATATTGTTCACTTCATTTTTTTTGAAAAAAACGTAAGCAAAATGTGATGTTTTTACGCAAAAACGATGCCCACAAAACACATTTTTTAATGCTCTAAAACGCTGAAAATGGCATTTTTAAGGCTCTGAAATTCAAAATTTCTCAGGGGAGAATGCCTCAGACCTCCCCAGGTGCGGAGCGCCTTCGACGTTTTATGACTGATGTTTGAAAAATCCTAGATCCGCCCCTGTTTCCATACATTAAGTAGCTCAGATTTATTACGTATATTATTATGAAAGCTGTACTTGTGTGGCTTATAGCTATATGAGTATTTGGTGTTGTTGGAAATACACTTGGGATAGCGTCAATATTGAAAAAAAGATTCATTAGAAAAAGAACTATGACTTTCTTTTCTTGCGTCTTGCGATATGTGACGTGCTGCCGTTGTTATGTATATTTCTTTAGCAGTTCAAAAGCGTCACATTTTTATTCAACTGCTTTGATATAAATCACATTTAGTTTTTGTTTACAACAAGTGGAGTTTACAACTTATGATGTTTATCATTTCGTTTCGACATCATCGTGCGTTCGTCATTCCATTGAAACTTTCTTTCAGTTGACGAAAGATAAAATTCGTTTGTGGTTTAGCGTACATAATTGGTTTGTTACGACATTTCAAATGAAATTTCATGAGCGCATTGCGGATCTTTGACGTCATTATAACATTTATGAATCGTTTGCTTATTTTAATTGTTTTACAATTTCATAATAATATTTTCTTTCACTTAGCTACTCCAGAATTGCTCGAGCATTGTTCAAAAAAAAAGGAAAGCCCTGAGAGCTTACTTCAACACAACACAGTCTCACTCATTTACAATTCTTTACCAGTTACAGTCTTTAAAGATGTACACAGAGTTTAAAATAATTTTCGTTTATGCAATAACTGTTTTCTGTTTTTTAGTAGGTCATATATATTGTATGACATGTTTTGTGTATTTTTATGGATGCATTGATTAAATGGAGCGCCCCATCATGCACAAGTATGTTTAATGAGGACGTTCTTAAAACCAAATATATTCAAAACTAATTTAATTTGTGGTATTTTATTGGACAAGAAGCAGCAATTAATTTGGTCTATTAATGAAAACTTTATTTAGCAAAATTGTCCAACCATTTCATGATATGGTGGATTGCCGATAACGCGTTGAAAATATTTTGGGAAAACTAAAGATTGTTAGTGTACAATAAAGCTGCTGCACACAGAAAAATGTTTTTTTGCAATAAATGAATTTTGTAACTCTAATTTCATTGAGCAAACATAGCTATAAATCTTTACGTTAACTACAAATTTTTTACTCTAATATACACACTTCAAGAATCTGAAATTTTATCTACAATAGTCATTCAAAGTTTGGTTGGCAAACTAATGATGAATTTCTATATATACTTAATGCAATTTCTTTGATTAAAGGAAGGTTTCAGTTTGTGTTATTACACAGCAACAAAAATGAAATTCTATTGAAACTTTAAAAGATCCCTGCTTTAAACAAACCATTGTGTTTAATATAAATACATCCTTTACCACCCAACAAAGAAACATGTATAAGTAATTAAAGATCAAAACATGTAGTTTTCTGGATTGATTCAAATTTTTCTTTTTTTGCACCACTTCCAAAAGTACAGCACTTGTCTTTCAAATATTCCATAGATTAATGGATTGACAGCGTGTGACCCCAGAATATTAAGACAACCACCAACAAATACATGTATCATATTAGTTTCTGCATTATAGTACTCCTGCAACCGAGATGTTATATAATAACTATAACCAACTGAAAAACAAAGTACCGTTAGTGCACAAACAAAAAATGTTTTCAAACTTTGAATATATCTTCAAAGACTTGAGCTGGTGGAGGAATGTACATGAGAACGTGTCAATTTGGAGAGCGTTCGTAGTGCTTTTCTTTGTTTCATCAATGCTCGAGCCACTTTGGAGTAAGTCAATGCCATGAAGATTATTGGGAAAATGTAGAAACATGAAATAAAGGCAAACACTTTGTAAATGTAATAACGATCTTGAGGATCCACAACGCACTTGGGAAATATCATTCCAATTGTCGTAACCAAGCCAATGACGTACGCTAAGGCACAAACGATTTTTATCTCTCTTCGACTAAAGGAAACTTTTAATGGATGAACTATTGCATGATATCGTAGAACTGAAATGATCAACATCATAGATACTCCACTTACTTGAAAAAAGAATCTATGTCGTTTATATATAAGCAGCTGAACAAAAATGGATTGCTTTTCAAATGGTGTTCAAAGATCTCAAAGAGAAATATACTCAATAGTATAAATGCGTCACACATTGCGAGATGTAAGACGAGAAAGTAGTAGTTCTTCTTTAACAGAATCTTTTGCTTTAATATAGTAACGATCACAAGAGCATTTCCAAGAATACCAAGTATGCATATTGCAATACTCAACACAAAGAAAATTTCCATGATAAAAATATGATGGATATGATTGAATAACTATACGTTTTGGAATGGTCTGTATATTTCTGGTTTTTCGTTGCTCAGTAAGTGAAATACTCAACAAAGTTGTTATATAAATTGTTCTGCCTTCTATGTTAGCTATATTAACAAATCAGAATTCATAAAAGTTTATAATGCGTAATTACATAACCAAACATCAACAAAACGTAATGCTTTTTATAATATTTAATTTTAAAATATTATTACAGTTAAATAAAAGCAAACGCACGTAACGTTTCATCACAGCTGCAAATGTGAATAGGCACGTTCCTAAGACAAAGCGCACTCAAAAGTATCCAAATTTACCACATTTTATTCGACGAAGGCCATATTGAACAAAAATTTTGACTGTGAAAGGATGTTTTATGCAGTGCAGTGTTTGAAATTAGATGAAGATATGATCTTCGCACTTTGCTGGACAATTTAAGCAATTGTCTCATGAACCTGAAAAATACAACGGGATCCCGTTGAGTCACCCGAATTTTTCAGGTTCATGAGACAATTGCTTAACTTGTCCAGCAAAGTGCGAAGATCATATATTCATCAAATTTTGACTATTTTAGGCAAAATCATTACATTAAATTCCATAAAGTATCAATAACCTCAATCATCAAATGCTTGTCAATATTTAAGGTCATTGAAACAAGCATAAACTGACGGAAACGAAAAATGACTTTTCTACCGGAATTTCTAGCTATTTCATTTTTCTATATTACTCTTTCCAAATGCCATGAAAAACTGTTTATAAGTTACGAAATTGTTGAATTAAATTGTTTTAAAATATAGCAGTACAAGTTTACGCATACACCACCAACACTCAATTTCTCTGTAAAGCTTCAAACTTGATGAAGCTTTACACATATGCAAACAAAAACCGATCTTAACAAACAAATTAAACATTTTAACACCATTTTCTAATTGTAAACATTCTAACTTGTCTCTATCACACACATATCTACCTTTTTCTATCTTTACGTGGACCTTTATGTTTATTTTTTTTTCGACCTTATTGTTCATCTCGTTTATATGTTATACAAGATATTTCAAACAGTGGTCATCTTATAGGAAACAAGCATTGTTTTTAAAAGTGGAAAAGGACACTAATTTATTTTAACTTGCTTTTTTCTGAATGCAAAGCCATTTAGGTTCCATTTATCAATAATTTACTAATATCTTTCTGTCATTTACATTTCTCTCTAAAATCTTTAAACGACATGCATCAACACTTTTCCAACATTCCACAAAAGAAAAGATTGAAAAATAGTATCATGAAGAAGAAAACTTTTATTATTTTCTAAAAAAATAATGACGAGTGTCATTGCTTATTTGGGTTCTAGTGTGCACGTATATATTGCTTAAGGTATTTTGTAGATAAATTTAAGTTATTTTGGTTAGTTTCCGTGTTTTGTTATCCAAAGAAATTAAATTTTTAAAGAACGCTTCAGAGGTCTTCCTTCTACTTAATTCTATTATTAAATTTGTAAAAGGTATAATTCTTGTTTGAAGATATTAAAATTTTTAAACATCTCCACTACTAGATTAGAACAGGAAACATGCAAGTGATTAAAAACGTTTTGTTATCTGCATTTGCTAAAATCGTTTTGTACAGCACTTCCAAAAGTACAAAACTTGTCTGTCAAATATTCCATAGATTAATGGATTGACAGCGTTTGAGGCAAGAATCTTAACACAAACACCAACAAAATAATGTATCACGTTAGTTTCTGCATTATAATAGTTCTGAAATCAAGCTGTCATATAATAAATCTGACCAACTGAAAAACAGAGAACCGTTAAAGCACAAACAATAAATGTTTTCAAACTTTGAATATATCTTTGAGAACTTGAGTTGAAGGAGTATTGAAAATGAGACGGTGTTGCATTGGAGAATGTTCTTAGGGCTTTTCTTTGTTTCATCAATGCTCGAGCGATTATGGAGTAAGTCACAGTCATGAAGATTATTGGGAAAATGTGGGCACATAAAAAAAACGGAAGCACTTCGTAAATGTAATAACGACGTTCAGGATCGTCAACGCACTTGACAATTACTATTCCAACTGCCACAACCAAACTAATGATGTACGCTAAGCCACAAACGATGTTTATCTTTCGTCGACTGAACCAAGGTTTCAATGGATGAACTATGGCACGATAACGTAGAACTGAAATGATTAACATCATAGATACTCCACTTATTTGAAAAAAAACATCTAAGCTGCCTCTTGAGCAAGCCAACCAAAATGATTTAATTTTCAACATATATAAAACACTTAATATCAATACAAATGCGTCACATATCGCGAGATGTAAGACAAGAAAGTAATAGTTCTTCTTTAACAGAATCTTTTGTTTTAATATTGAAGCGATCACAAGAGTATTTCCAAAAATACCAAATGTGGATATTGCACTACTCAACACAAAGAAAATTTCCAAGATAAAAATATGATAGATATAATTGACTTACTATACGTTTTGGAGTGGTCTGTATATTTCTGTATTTCGCTTTGCAAATACCAAAACGAATTTGGTTTTTTGGTGATCTGTAAGTAAAATACTGAAAAAAGGTGCTATATAGCTTGCTGCCTTCCATGTTAGCTATACTGACCAATCAGAATTCATGAAAGTTTATAATGCGTAATTACATAACCAAACATCAACAAAACTTAATGCTTTTTACAATATTTAATTTTAAAATATTATTACAGTTAAATAAAAGCAAACGCACGTAACGTCTCATCACAGCTGCAAATGTGAATAGGCACGTTCCCTAAGACAAAGCGCATTCAAAAGTATCCAAATCTACCACATTTTATTCAACGAAAGGCCATATTGAACAATAAATTTTGACTGTGAAAGGATGTTTTATGCAGTGCGGTGTTTGAAATTAGATGAAGATATGATCTTCGCACTTTGCTGGACAATTTAAGCAATTGTCTCATGAACCTGAAAAATACAACGGGATCCCGTTGAGTCACCCGAATTTTCTGGTTCATGAGACAATTCTTAACTTTCAAAAGTCGAAATCATATATTCATCAAATTTTGACTATTTTAGGCAAAATCATTACATTAAATTCCATAAAGTATCAATAACCTCAATGATCAAATGCTTGTCAATATTTAAGGTCATTAAAACAAGCATATACTGACGGAAACGAAAATGACTTTTCTACCGGAATTTCTAGCTATTTCATTTGACTATATTACTCTTTCCAAATGCCATGAAAAAGTGTTTATAAGTTACGAAGTTGTTGAATTAAATTGTTTTAAAATATAGCAGTACAAGTTTACGCATCTGTTCTTTCTTATTAGTTCTAACTTAATGTTTTAAATACTCCAAATGCACTCGCTCATGTTTCTCTATCCTAGACACCACCAACACTTAATTTCTTTGTAAAGCTTCTAACTTGATGAAGCTTTACACATATGCAAACAAAAACCGATCTTAACAAACAAATTAAACATTTTAACACCATTTTCTAATTGTAAACATTCTAACTTGTCTCTATCACACACATATCTACCTTTTTCTATCTTTACGTGGACCTTTATGTTCATTTTTTTTCGACCTTATTGTTCATCTCGTTTATATGTTATACAAGGTATTTCAAACAGTGGTCATCTTATAGGAAACAAGCATTGTTTTTAAAAGTGGAAAAGGACACTAATTTATTTTAACTTGCTTTTTTCTGAATGCAAAGCCATTTAGGTTCCATTTATTAATAATTTACTTATATCTTTCTGTCATTTACATTTCTCTCTAAAATCTTTAAACGACATGCATCAACACTTTTCCAACATTCCACAGAAGAAAAGATTGAAAAATAGTATCATGAAGAAGAAAACTTTTATTATTTTCTAAAAAAATAATGACGAGTGTCATTGCTTATTTGGGTTCTAGTGTGCACGTATATATTGCTTATAGGCCGTGATCTGTGACCGATTTTCTTTCATTCCCGTTGGACACCTCAAGGAAGGTCGTGAAAAATTCAAGACAGAACGACTTTTACATGCTTAACGCAGTTTTACTTCTTGTCATCTCCAAAAAGCTGCAGTTTTATTTCTATATTACATTAAAATTTTAAAATTTGTAGCTCATTACAATTTCGGAATCCCCCATTTTCCTAGGAAACTTCATGTTATTTATATTTTGTGTGCTAGTGCCAGACCTAATAGAGAGCTATTCCGCACGATAATACTGGCAACATAAATAAAATGTCTGAAAGAAATACATATTTTACTCGTGCATTAGGTTGGATTTTAGCAATTGTTGCGAAGATAATATTTTGAAAGTTATAATCGTATTGTGCAAGACAAGGCGCGCTTTTTTTAAAGGTCTGTCTCGAATTCGTCGTCAATGTCATCATCTAAAAACTCCTCTTCCTTCCTCAACATCATTGTCGTCATCAATATCTACATTCGTGCATGCAGTACACGACCATACATCTGTGTACTTCACTCCTGCTTCGTTACATAAACAACGTTGGGAGTTACAGCCAGGTTGCAGCCAGTCTTACAACCACAATGAACGTTATCAAGTAGGGAATTCGGCGCTAGGGAATGGTCATCCATACGATTTCAGACTTGCAGTTTCCGTCACTCGTTTGCCACCCATTTTCATCCGGAGGAGTAATATCCATTTGTGGTTGTAAACAGAAAGGCCAAAGCGCGGCTTGGTACAAAAATGTAAGTTCCATAAACTTCCATTGCTAATCAAGAGTTAGTGTAAATATTGCTAAAGTCATTCTTATTGCATTCTGTATACAACTGAGAGGTATTTTGCAAAAAGAAGTTAAAAATCTCAGTTAAGAAGCATAAAATCTCAAAACAGCAAGCTAGAACTCAACATTATATGATTCTTAGAACAAACTTAGTTACTATTTGTTTACAATATGTCAGAAGTGGTAAACTTTTGTATTTTTCAACAATCTCTTTCATAGGTTGTAATGATTGTTAATCTTCAGTTAAGGCTTTATGCTCAAGATCATGTTTTACAGTTCAAGAAAGAATATTTTTCAGTGAGCCATTTCAGAAGCCAGAAAGCTGGGGTTTTTTGCTTGGGTTGAAACTTGTTTTATTGTAAATTTGATTAGCGAGGACTTTCATAGATAAAAGTTGTCTTTGTCATACCATGAAAAGGAGAGTGAAAAAGTTCTGGCACATTGATTGAAAAAGTGATCCTGTATATATATTTCTCAACAAGAAATGTAGTTATGATTTTGATCTATACAAACTAATTTACTCTGTGTCCTTTGATAAAAGTTTATAATGTTGATTTAAAATAAAGAATATCTGAATTATTTTTGAAGTCATTCTTTATATAATCAATGCATGGAAACAGCAACTAAAGATGGTTTTGGGACAATGGTATGTAATGGAGACAAGATCCTCTGTTAGAAGTAAGTGAGCAAGCACTTTTATGCTTAGTGTAGGTTCTACAAAACCAAAAAAAATGTTGTCCTTCTATATTTAAAAAGAGAAATTTCAGAATTCTACTCTTCCAAAGTAAAGAATGGACTTCACTTATCCTATGTGGAGTGAACTTGTAGAAAGAGTGGTCAAAACATTGAATCAAAGTAATTCTTGTGTTTAGTGAGTCTAATAGCCTGATAGCAATACTTTTAAAACTTTATTTTTGCTCTTGCATCACTTAAAGCAGGTTAATCAGAAAAGCATGTACTTTATGGAATCTGTAACATAGCTGTAAGCTGCTAAATGTTTGTTCTACAATTTTTACATTAATCTTAGGCCTATGCATAATGATGTGCCTCTTTAAAAGCTTATTAACAAAAAATTCTTTAGTGGTAATGATCAATTTCTTACCAAGCTTTAGTGTTTAAGGAAAAATTTATGGAAAGATGCGTTGCTATCCTTCGAAAAGTGAAGTTGCGCACGATTTAACCATGAGTTCTTAAAACTGACAAGATTTAGGTCTAAAACAGGCTTCTCCTATGTTGATACATAAGTGCAAAGGTGACAGTTTAGGTTTGCTCCCAAAATTTTCGACAGAATTCTTCATTTAAAACTTACATTTTACTTGGACTTTATTAAGAATATCGCTTTTTTGCCACCTTTCAAGATGGCGCCCGTTAATAAATTTGCCTCACCATGACAACGGCAGTTAGATCAGAGAGTTCCGCACCAAAAAAATGGCGACATTCAAAATTGAAGGAGCGAGGAATTTTGAAATTCAACCGCGAAATACTAAAAAACTGCAGCTTTTTAGAAGTGACAATAAAAAGAATATCAAACAGCAAGTGACTTTCTATCTATTTTGAAAATTTTGCGACCTTCCTTGAGGTGTCCAACGAAACTCATTTTTAAAGCATATTTTTGAGGCACAGATCACGGCCTATTAAGGTATTTTGTAGATAAATTTAAGTTATTTTGGTTAGTTTCCGTGTTTTGTTATCCAAAGAAATTAAATTTTTAAAGAACGCTTCAGAGGTCTTCCTTCTACTTAATTCTATTATTAAATTTGTAAAAGGTATAATTCTTGTTTGAAGATATTAAAATTTTTAAACATCTCCACTACTAGATTAGAACAGGAAACATGCAAGTGATTAAAAACGTTTTGTTATCTGCATTTGCTAAAATCGTTTTGTACAGCACTTCCAAAAGTACAAAACTTGTCTGTCAAATATTCCATAGATTAATGGATTGACAGCGTTTGAGGCAAGAATCTTAACACAAACACCAACAAAATAATGTATCACGTTAGTTTCTGCATTATAATAGTTCTGAAATCAAGCTGTCATATAATAAATCTGACCAACTGAAAAACAGAGAACCGTTAAAGCACAAACAATAAATGTTTTCAAACTTCGAATATATCTTTGAGAACTTGAGTTGAAGGAGTATTGAAAATGAGACGGTGTTGCATTGGAGAATGTTCTTAGGGCTTTTCTTTGTTTCATCAATGCTCGAGCGATTATGGAGTAAGTCACAGTCATGAAGACTATTGGGAAAATGTGGGCACATAAAAAAAACGGAAGCACTTCGTAAATGTAATAACGACGTTCAGGATCGTCAACGCACTTGACAATTACTATTCCAACTGCCACAACCAAACTAATGATGTACGCTAAGCCACAAACGATGTTTATCTTTCGTCGACTGAACCAAGGTTTCAATGGATGAACTATGGCACGATAACTTAGAACTGAAATGATTAACATCATAGATACTCCACTTATTTGAAAAAAAACATCTAAGCTGCCTCTTGAGCAAGCCAACCAAAATGATTTAATTTTCAACATATATAAAACACTTAATATCAATACAAATGCGTCACATATCGCGAGATGTAAGACAAGAAAGTAATAGTTCTTCTTTAACAGAATCTTTTGTTTTAATATTGAAGCGATCACAAGAGTATTTCAAAAATACCAAATGTGGATATTGCACTACTCAACACAAAGAAAATTTCCAAGATAAAAATATGATAGATATAATTGACTTACTATACGTTTTGGAGTGGTCTGTATATTTCTGTATTTCGCTTTGCAAATACCAAAACGAATTTGGTTTTTTGGTGATCTGTAAGTAAAATACTGAAAAAAGGTGCTATATAGCTTGCTGCCTTCCATGTTAGCTATACTGACCAATCAGAATTCATGAAAGTTTATAATGCGTAATTACATAACCAAACATCAACAAAACTTAATGCTTTTTACAATATTTAATTTTAAAATATTATTGCAGTTAAATAAAAGCAAATGCACGTAACGTCTCATCACAGCTGCAAATGTGAATAGGCATGTTCCCTAAGACTAAGCGCATTCAAAAGTATCCAAATTTATCATATTTTATTCGACGAAAAACCATATTGAACAGTAAATTTTGACTATTTTAGGCAAAATCATTACATTAAATTCCATAAAATATCAATAACTTCAATGATCAAATGCTTGTCAATATTTAAGGTCATGGAAACAAGCATAAACTGACGGAAACGAGAAATGACGTTTTTACGAGAATTTCTAGCTTTTTCATTTTTTCTATATTTCACTTTCCAAATGCCATGAAAAACGGTTCATTAGTTTTTAAGTTGTTCAAGTAAATTGTTTTAAAATATAGCAGTACAAGTTTACGCAACTGCTCTTTCTCATTCATTCTAACTTATTGTTTTAAACATTCGAAATACACTCGCTCATGTTTCAGTATCCTAGTTCTCTTATGCTATTTCAAAACAACACTCTATTTAATTGTCAAATATTCCACGTGAATGACAGGTTGAAATACAATATAGTTAAAAACAATTTTCATTATTTTGGAAAAATTGTCTTATTCGGGATCTATGTAAAGATTACTTGAAAACTGTAATGTGCAGCTAACTTTGATTTTATTCTAGTTAGTTTTAGGTTTCAACGTGTATCATTCGAAGAAAATATTTTTTCAGTAAGCACGTTAGAGGTCTTCTTGGTTCTGATACTGACTCAATAAAGGCTTTGTTTTTGAAACATTAATTAGACGTAAACAGTTTAAACTTTTAAACAGGAAACATGTAAGCAATTGCCAAACGTCCTGTTATCTGAATTAGCTAATAATTATCTTCTTGTGCACCACTTCCAAAAGTACAAAACATTTCTGTCAAATATTCCATAGATTAATGGATTGACAGCGTGTGATCCCAAAATTCTTACACAATAAGCAACTGATTAGTTTACCGTGTTAGTTTCAGCAGAATAAAACAAATGCAATCCATTAGCTGTCATATAATAAATATGACCAACGGGAAAACAGAGAACCGTTATTGCAGAAACGAAAAACGTTTTTAAACTCCGAGTATATCTTTGAGAACTTGAAATGGAGGAGCATTGAAAATGAGACGGTGTTGCATTGGGGAATGCTCTTAGGGATTTTCTTTGTTTGATCAATGCTCGAGCGATTATGGGTAAGTTACAGTCATGAATATTATTGGGAAAATGTAGAAACAGGCAAAAAAAAAGGCAGCCATTCGTTAATGTAATAACGACGTCGAGGAAATTTAATGCACTGTGGATTAGTAAGTAAAACTGCTGTAACCAAACCAATGATGTACGATAAGCCACGAACGATTTTTATCTTTCGTCCACTGAAGGAAAGTTTCAATGGATGAACTATTGCACGACAACGAAGAACTGAAATGATAAACATCATAGATACTCCATCCTATTTGAAAAAAATGTTATTTCAACATTTAAACTACTAGAAAAAGAAAAATGCGAGTGATTGAATATAAAACGTCTGTCATCTGCATTAGCTTAAATTTCTATTCTTGTTCAACACTTTCAAAAGTGCAGGACTTGTCTATCAAATATTCCACATATTGATGCACTGATTGCGGGCGACCACAGAATTCTAACACAATAAGCAAGTGATGGATTTACCGTGCTAGTTTCTGAAAAGTAAAACCAATGCAACCAAGCTATAGTATAGAGAACATACAGTAGGGCCACTCTATTGAACTTTTTCGTGCGACGCATATCTTATTACGCACGTGATTACCCTATTTGCAGCCAGTAAATTGCATTGTGTAACGAATAGGATTGACGATATGGCAAACGGCAGCCAGTAAACTAATTAAATATACAGCAGACAGCTGCACAGCGAAGTGGCACTACTGTATATTCCTATACTGTGACCAAGCTCTAACATGATTAATACTTATTTGTACTTTGTCATTTTGTACACGGTAGTTTAGACAGTGAATTTTCTTGTGTTTTGTAAAAATCCATCATAAAAGAGTGGACGAAAATTCAAGCCATCAAACTAACATTTATTGTTGACGACATTTTATGGCAATTTCATAATTACCAACGAGACCCCTTCTGCAGACAAGCAGCCCACTCAGTGACTCTCTCGGCAGTTCAAAAATCATACTTCTTGTATACCATGTTTATAAACCGTATAATTGAAGAAGGCTACCAAAGATGTGAGGAAATCATTGTTTGCAGCGGTTGAAGACGATCTAAATATTCATATTCACATAGTGCTCTTAATCTCTTACATCCCTTATCCTTAAACCGAATGACGTATCTTCCTGTTCTCTTATTTATCCTCCTAAGTCCTCTTGTTATCTTATACATTTTTTTTACTAATTTTTTAAGTCCTTTGCTATTCATTCAAAAAATCTTCTTAGTACAACGACTATTGTTTTTCCTGTCTTCCTGATCATATTTGCTGCATTTATCCATTTATCTGAGAGTTTATTTTGATCACCTAGAGCCTTTCTCAAATCTTCCCTTAAAACCAGACCACCCTCTTCATATTGAAATGTTTTAAAATTCAAATTTTGTTTTTGAAAAATTGCGTACACAAATCATATCAATAATTTTGCATTCATGAGCAGAACGCACAAAAAAATTCTCATTCTTAAACCAAAAGTAAACATTCTAAAAGGTAAGATATTTACAGCGTTCTAAAATGTAGAGAAATTCTGCGTGTTGCATCGAAGCAGTAGCTGACAAAACCATTTAACGGTTAAGCCTGATTAATAGGTTTTTTCAAAGTACCCAAAAACTGAAGTACATTTTAGAAAGAGAATTTCGTATCTAATCCTGAGGTTATAAAGACGTTATAGTTTGTATATTTTCTCCGTTATTGCACTGCGTATATATAGTGGCGGATAACTAATTACGGGGCCTGTAGGCTGCGACAAAGCTGTGGGGTTTTAAGTGATATTTGTTCCTACAAATAATTTCAGTGTTTTGATGACGTTTGCGTTTCTTGCGTTCCATTGCTTTTGCATTTTCTGGCTTCTGTTTGTAACTCATATAGTGTAAACATTGAGGAACAAATTTAATGTTCAAACTGAGTAAGTCTCCTGCACTTTATGAGTTTTGTGCATTCAGCATTAAAACAGTAGATCGTAAAGTTTCCAGCAGCATATATGGTCGAATTTTAGAACATAAAGGCAAAAGGTAAAATATGTCTAAATATAACGGGCGTCTTGAAAAGCGGGCCTGTAGGCTTCAGCCTACTTAGCCTACTGCGTTTATAATACGTTACTGCGTGTATGCAGTCAAAATGCTTTTATCTCATTTTAGTATTTATTTGTTCAGTATAAAGCAAAATATGCGATGTTTACAAAGACGCAAAATTGTTTTGTAAAATGCTGTTGTAGATTGAATAAATGTCTTTATCTACGACAAATTTGACAGGAAACTGATCACTTTTAAATATTTGTTGACAGAAAGAACTCTGCAAAATTACTTTTAAGATCATCATGTGGAACACATTTATTTGTTTTATTTGTAAAGTAAACATCACTAAACCATGCAAGCAAAACAGTCCATAGATTGCTTTTCAAATTTTTAAAACTTAACCCTATGTTTGAATATTTTATATTTTATCCATAAAAACGCATTTTATAAAAAAAAACGTAAAATAAATGGCAACTTTAAAATTATTTTTGTATTCATTTCGATCTTTAGAACGCACATATCGACACAGCTGTAATGGATGTTTTAGTTTTTTTGATTATTCACTGAATATAATAACACAATTTTGACTTTGAAGCTTTTTAATTGGTTCATTTTGAAGTATGAATATTGATGATTATTATTTGAAAACTGAAAAGGACATTTCTTAATTGCATTTTAAAAGAGAAGCACAGAAAAAAAGACCTCTCTAGGAAAGTTGGACAGATAATATATCATTTCATATCTTCATGGCCGTACACGTGTTTTTGCAAGTTTTGGTATGTTCAATTGGTATTGTTGGAAATTCTCTTGTGATCGTTACACTGTTAAAACAAAAGATTCTGTTAAAGAAGAACTACTACTTTCTTGTTTTACATCTCGCAATATGTGACGCATTTTCACTATTGGTATTATTTCTCATTAAGATCAATTTGAAAATCAATATACTTTGGTTCAGCTGCGTACGTATACGACACATAAGTTTGCCTTTTTGTGTAACTGGAATATCTATGATGTTGATCATTTCAGTTCTACGATATCGTGCGACAGTTTATCCATTGAAACCTTCCTTCAGTCGAGGAAAGATAAAAATCGTTTGTTGTTTAGCATACATCATTGGTTTGGTTGCGACAGTTGGAATGAGAATTCAAGAGTGCATTGTGGATCCTCAAGGACGTTATTACATTTACACAGCGTTTGCGTTTTATTCATGTTTCTACATTTTCCCAATAATCTTCATGACTGTGACTTACTCCATAATAGCTCGAGCATTGATGAAACAAAGAAAAGCAATACGAGCACTCTCCAATCCGACAAATTCTCATGTACCATCCTCCACCAGCTCAAGTCTTCGAAGATATATTCGAAGTTTGAAAACATTTTTTGTTTGTGCTTTAACGGTTCTTTGTTTTTCAGTTGGTCATATTTATAATATGACAGCTTTGTTGCAGCAGTACTATAATGAAGAATCTAACATGACACATGCATTTGTTGGTAATTGGCTTAGAATTCTGGGATCGTACGTTGTCAATCCATTAATCTATGGAATATTTGACAGAAAAGTGCTGTACTTTTGGAAGTGCTGCACAGGAAAGCAAATTTAAGCAAATGCAGATAACAAAACGTTTTTAATCACTTGCATGATTCC